ACCCCCCACCATGTCCCTCCCCCTTCCCTGCATCACGCGCGCCTCCCCCCTGCCGGGGCTGAAGCCGCGCCTGCCGTCAACGCTGCTGCTGCTCTCCCTCATGACCCTCCTGCTGCTGCTCCCGCTCGCGCTGACGCGGCCGCCGCTGCGCGGCCCGCTGCACCACCTGCGCGACCTCCTGTCGCGCCTCGACGTGCGCACGGCCGCCTCCTTCCGCGTCACGCCCGCCATGCGCCTCTCCATCGCCATGTCCATGATGCTGGGCGTGCTGCTCGGCGTCGCCGTCGCCCTCATCTCCGGCCTGGAGCCCGCCGTCGTCATCGGCGTCAGCGCCAGCATGGCCATGGGCTGCGTCTTCGTCATGAGCTTCGCCGTCCTGCACGGCGTCAACGCCGTCCGCGCCGTCAGCTTCGCCCTCTTCGTCAGCGTCTGCCTCCCGCTCGGATTCGGCTTCGGATTCGGCTCCGGCGTGCTGCTCGGCGTCTTCCTTGGCCTCGAGGAGCCCGACGACGTCAGGGATAAGACTTTCGAGTTTGTTACCCACTTTCGAGACTTTGTTTCTGTCGTGCTCGCCTTCACTATGGAGATTTTGTAGCCACCACATGTAGCCACCACACCTCCGTGCCCAGGGGTGCCCAGACGCCTCGCCCGCGGACCATGCCTCGATGCTTGTGTATATAGTAAATCTAACTCGTAACTTGATGACGATGCTCGCCTGTATCTCGCCCCACTTTGATACACTTTTGACGTGTTGCTGCCAACACCACATACGCTTTCGTGCCACTTGCCACATTTGATTGCTGCTGGTGCCACCAGCAATCAAAACTTGCTCCGCAATCATACAATTTTCCCCAAAACTTTTCAAAACTTTCGCCCCCTACCACCAAACCCTCCGAGCTACACCGCATCAATCCTCTCTTCCCATATCAATCCGATCGCACCTCAATTCACCCCTTCCCCTTACCCTTCCCCTCTCAACTTCCTTCCCCTTTCCCCCGCCATCATCATGAAGGTCTCCGTCCAATCCACCAGCGGCCGCCCGCTGGGCGACTACCAACTCCCCGCCTCTGCCACCCTCTCCTCTCTGCAGCCGCTCTTCCATGCGGCGCACCCCCTCTACTACCCGGACCGCCAGCGCTTCTACCCCTCCCCCGCCGCGCCCTCCGCCACGCGCCCCCCAGCCCTCAACCCGGACTCGCCCCTCTCCGACGCCGACGTCCTCCTCTTCAAGGACCTGGGCCCGCAGATCCTCTGGAAGACCGTCTTCCTGCTCGAGTATCTCGGCCCGCTGCTGCTGTATCCGCTCTTCTACAACCAGCCGCGCTGGATCTACGGCGACGCCATCCATGCCGCCGTCACTCCGTGGGCCCGCGAGGTCCAGTTTTCGGCCCTCATGGCCTGGACTTTCCACTACGCGAAGCGCGAGCTAGAGACCCTCTTCGTCCATCGCTTTTCGCACGCCACCATGCCGCTCTCCAACCTCTTCAAAAACTCCATCTACTACTGGGGCTTCGCCGCCTACGTGGCTTACTTTGTCAACCACCCATTGTACACTCCCCCCAAGGAGGATTTGGTGTACACCGGTATGTGCCTTTTCTACTTCATGGAGGTCGGCAATCTTAGTGCGCACTGGACCCTCAGGATGCTCAGGCCCCCGGGGACAAAGGTCAGACGCATTCCAAGGGGCGGCTTGTTTGAGCTCGTGTCATGTCCAAACTATACCTACGAGATCTTGTCCTGGTTGGGCTTTAATATGATGACAAAGACAATCGCGGGCCTCCTCTTTATGTGTGCCGGCGCTTTCCAGATGCTCGTGTGGGCAGGGAGCAAGCATAGACGGTATAAGAAGGAGTTTGATGGCAAGGATGGGAGGGCTCTATACCCTCCCAGCAGGAAAATTCTCATCCCATTCTTGTATTGAGAGTGTGGTATGGGGAAAGTGTTCTGAGTTGGTCTCCACGTTTTTTACTTTGCCTATCGAATGCTTGTTCCGTAAGTCTTATGATCGAATCCCATTATCCAGCTACGCAGGGGCGCTTTCGATTTCATGCTTTGCATGCCAACGAGTGATGCCGAGGGCACCGTACTCACTACAAAAGCGTATGATGTGCGGGGGCGCAGCCAAATCAGCCGTCTGGTCTGTTTTCAAGTGCAAAAGTCAGCCGAACGTCCTCATGTCTTGACCCTTGTGCTTTTTACCTTGTCGTGTTACAATATCACAGGCGATGCAGTTAGGAAGTTAGTTTGTGACGGATGATGCGATCTGCTCTTGGACGGTGTCGTAAAAGCGCTGCAGGCCTCGTAGTAAAGCCCCGTGACTTCCATCAGTCTGCTGGATCCCGGCTTGAGTCCATTTCGGCAGTTGCTTCAGGACGTGCTTTTGACGAAACCGACAGTCGAGCAGCAAGACAGCCCCGTAATCATATCTGTGTCGTACCGCTCGCCCCAGGGCCTGGTTCAACGCGCGGTATGCCTGCATTTCATACCACTCCGTCCCACTCTGTAGCTTGGATTCGGTCTTGTTCTTCCTCGTGCGGTCATTCCACTGCCGCTTTCTACTCACGACGACATCGCCAAAATACGGAAAAGGGATACCGACGAGGATGACACCGCGCGACGTGGCGTCCCGGAAGTCGACACCCTCGGACAGTTTTCCGCGACACACTCCGAACAGAATCGCTCCTCCGTCCGACTCAGACGCCGCTTGGTACCGACCGACTATCTCGTCAAAGTCTTCCCCTCGTCGATGCGGTTCGACCAGGACGGTGTTTTTCACCGTGTACAGCTTGTCCCATGCTCCCGAACCCTTCCACCGGGTGTGCAACTGCGCCATCAATCGATAGCTAGGGAAAAAGACTAGCACCCCACTTGGGATTACGCGGCAATAGTCGTACAGCGCTTCTCCGAGCGAGTCTTGAAACGAAAACTTTGACGAGCCGGCATATGTCGCATCAAAACGCTCTCGCCCCGGTCCCTCTGCCACCACGCTGACAAAAAGCTGTTTGCGCACGTCAATAACATGTGGCAGAGACTTTGAAATGGTAAATCTTGTCCCCAGCTCACCGGCAAACGAATCGATTGGCGACAACGTGCCCGATGTGACGATAACCGCCCGAGCTTTATTGGAGATGTCTCGAAAGCATACGGCTGCATTCAAACAACATACTTGCACCCGCATTGTGGTGATATAGTCGACGGTGCGACGGTCGACGACGAGGGCGAAGTCGTTCGGGTACGCAAACAAATATTCCAATGTTGTTAGCAGAGAATGGGTCATCGACATGCACTTTGCAATCCAAGGTCGCTGCTCTGCCACGTCTGCTCCTCGCCGTTTTCGTCCTCTCCGACGAACTTTGTTCCCCACTTTGCCACGCTTCATTTGCCTTGTCGAGTCCTGTCGAGGGGTCTCGATATGCAATTCATTCGCTTCGACATTTGGGTCACACCCGTACCCAAATCCAGCTGGTCGCGACTCTGGGACAGGTTTCCCGGGACCGGTCATCTGTGGGTTCTTCATAGAGTCATTGTCAGCCATTCCTGTAGGAGATGTCGCAGTTTTCGACTTGTCTTGATTGTTCTCTGCTCCTTTCCGCTGAACGGTTTCCGCTCCCGCGGATTCCACCGTTGCCTGCGAATCGCACGGGACGTCTCCCATTTTCTTCATCCGCTTTGCTTCATTGCCATCTCCATAATTTACAATAAACTCATACATGGCCCTCCAGCGCTTGATCTGTTCCTCGTCCACCTTTGCCAACGACAGTTTCCCCAAAAGCTCCTCACGTTCGTACACAGCCATCTCCTCCCTTTCCACACTTTTCAGCTCATTGCTCGCGACTGCATCGTCCACAATGGCCATGAGAGCCTCGAGCGGCCCCTTAAGCCTGCGATATGCAACTCCGAGATCGCCGCGGGCGCCAGAAAAGCAGCCCGTCAAGATCATGATGTCCACCTCATCGTGCGCGCGCCTCACATCGGCAATATCCGCTTCAAAACCTGCGCTCTCCCGCGCATAGTTTTCGATATTGTGCGCCTCATCCAAGATGACGACATCGCCCGCCAAATTGATTCCCCTGGCCCCGCGAACGATCGGGTCGACCAAGAAGCTATACGGACAAAAGACGATTTCGGCTTTCTGATACAGCTCATGGCTCGCGTAATATGGACACCCGCCATGCTTCCTCCCCAGCTCAGTCAGCTCCTCGATATCCCATGCTTCGCCTTTAAGCTCCTCATGCGCTGCCAGCTCCGCCGCCGAATAATAATGGCGACAATCCCCCGCCTTCACCAGCGCCTTGCATGTCTCGTCCCTCGCCACCGCGCTACGTACATCTTCTCGAATACAATACTCCCTCCTCGACGCCAGCACCGTGATCCTCGGCCGGTACGGCGTCTTGCGTAATTCGCTTATGACATTTGCGACCTGCTTATGCGTGCGCGTCGCGTAGAAAATGCGCGGCACCTTCTTTCCTTCGGGCTGGCTCGGGTCTTGCGATTCCGGCTGCGTCACCGGACCTTGCGTGCAGCCGTCATCCAACGGACGGTCTTGCTCCATGGCGAGCAGCCGCGCAAACATGAACGCATTAGCTGGTCGCTCCTCCTCGTGATCCGCCTCCATCCGCTTCCGTCCACGCCCCGCCAGCCCGCGCTGCCACGAAACGTCGCGAAACTTCGTGGGCTTCGCAAAGTCCGAATCGGAGGATTCGCCCTCCTCTTCTTTCTCGTCCTCGCCCTCCTCTCCCCCCTCCTCTCCCCCCTCCTCTCGCACTGGCGGAGCCACCTCCTCTGCCTCGGCCCTGCCCTGCGGTGCGGCGCCCGTCTCCTCCCTCGCATTCTCCGCACGATCCTCGCTCGCCTCGCGCGTGTGGCGCTGCACCGCGAGCGCGGCGCACAGCAGCGCGAGCGTCTTCCCCGTCCCCGTGGGGCTCTCGACCAGGGCGTGCTCGCGCGTGCGCACAGCCGTGACGACGGCGTGCATCAGCGCCGATTGCGCGCGGTACGGCACGTGTGGGAAGCGCACGCGCACGCCCGCGATGTGCAGCGTGCGCTCGGAGGACGCCATCGCCGCAGGATCACCGGAAGCGGCGCTGCTGGCGCACGGCGTGCAAGACACACCCGCTACGGTCTGAGAGAGGTCGTTTTGCCGCTTTCTGTGAGGATCAAACTCACCGGACAAAATCCTCCCGCTTTTAATACGGTTCGACGACGTCCGGCTCCGCTCTGAACACCGTCTCACTTTCTCCAACCTCGCCTAGCCCTTCTCTCGCCCGCAACCTTCCTTCACAATGGCCTTCCTCCCCCCTCTCGCACTGCAACGCACTATCCGCCCTGCATCTACATCCGCCAAGCGCCCGCCCACCGCCGCCGAACCATCCGCCAAGCCGCGCCGACGGGGCCGCGCACGCCCCTCACGGGACGCGGCGCTACCACCGGCAAGCGCCGCCGCCGCGCCACCGCCGCCGGCTCCGGTCATCCCATCGGCGCCTTTCACAGAGGCCGAGACGAGCGTGCTCCGAAGCACGACGTTCTCCGACGCGCGGTACGGCACGTGCTTCAACTGCGGGGCACCGATCGCCATCCCCGGGTTAGAGTGCTTCTTCTGCGGGCAATGCGGGTGGATGCGCCGGGCGCACGAGCCGGTGACGATCGCGCCCGGGCACCATGATTAAACTGTTGCTTCTCTTTAATGTACATGGTCTATTTATATGGGGTCCGAATCTGGGGCACCCCTGCCGTGCATAAGATGCTTACAAAACTCGTAGGTAGTCCAACACACGGCGGCGGCGGGCATGTGGAACAGGACCCTCGGCCTGACGCCGCGCATCAAGCCACCCCAGCCCTCCTCGACGCGGATGCTGCGGAGGGCGTCCCACACACCGCGGTAGCGCCTCGCGCCGACCTCACCCTGGGTCTGCAGGCGCGTCTTGACGACGTCCAGTGGGTTTGTGGCGCCCGCGGCGGCAGCACCCGCGATGGCGCCCGCGGCGCAGTGCGAGCCCACGGAAAACTGGCGCTCCTCGATCTGCCGCCAGTCGAGAATCATGTTCTTCGCCATCTCATACCCCGAGAAGTAGACGGCCGTGAAGGGGATATTCATGACCAAGGTGGCGGCATAACCGGCGTAAAAGGCCCTGAAGCCGTGGTTGGCATACACGGCGCGTACGCAGGCCATGACGGAGTAATAGGTGCCCTTCGGCGAGAGCTGCATGCGCTGCTTGACAACATCCAACGGGGTCATGACGCCGTCTCCGACGACGGTAGCGCAGGCGCCCGCGACGGCGGTGGGGAGCGGGTGCGGGTGGCCGTCGAAGCGAGCCTGCGGGGCGAGGCGGTCGCGCACGGCCTCGTACGAGGCGAAGTACAGCGCGTGCGCGGGCCCCGCGGACAGGGCGACGGCGCCCACGCCGCGCCACAGGGCGCGCAGGCCCTCGGCCGCGACGATGGCGCGCGTGGTGTGCAGCATGCCGAGGTTGGCAAAGTCGCGCACGGCGACGTACGACTGCATGCGCGTCTTGATGGTGTCGACGGGGTACATGGCCATGTGCTCGGTCATGCCGGCCAGGGCGCCG